AGGATTAGGAGAGCAAGGTTTGTGCGTGGTAAGTTAGCTTTGGGCGTAGCACAAGTTATAAAGGGTGAATGTTTATTAAAGGATTTAGATTTAATGGTAGTTATTAAGGAAAGTAGTTTAGCTGGTAGGTAAAGGTTATTATGCAACAGGCAGAGCGTTCTATTCTCTTTATTAGTCTGAACATCGTATTTGAGATTTGAACCCGTCTGAGAATTATTCACCTCGTTGGGAGCATATATCCTTCTTTTGGAAGCTTCTGACCCTCGTTGAGGGTTAAAGAAATAACAAAAATAAGGAATCTAACTAAATAAGAATAGTGGATTTAAGTGTAACACCAGCTTGTAACCTTCCATCATTCATTTCATCGAAATTGCATATAAATCATGTGATTTGAAGTAATTTGTGATTATGAGAAACTTGGGGATTTCAACATTAAGATAGAATCGAAATGAGTGTTCAAAAACAATTTTTTTTAATTTATTATGTGATAGTCGTCATATATATTTAGAAAATAATCAATGATCATGTAATAAACGCCTTACTTCGAACAAAATATGTTACCTAATTCAATAGAAATAGATTGTAAGTAGTTTGAGTCCGAAACGCATATGCAGGGTAAACTAAATGAATATTTGACGACTTATTATCATTTTACATTTGCAATATTTGTCATTCGATGCTGTGTAGGTATTTACACTTTATGGAACCGAAACTCGTCAGATGATGAATAATTAATCGAAAAAATGCATGAATTATTGAACGATCTTAAAAAGAGAATTTCAAGTAGTTATTTATTTTTTATAATATTGAAACTCTTAACTCTGCAATAAATAGTTTTATATCTTATTGAAAATTACTAGAATATGAGGTATTAAACTATTTTAACCATTTTGATATATAGATTGTTTTTAAAAAATACATCTATAAAGAAAATATACTTATATAGGTGACTATAGAGAGGTTTAACTATATATAGTATTCATTTTTTTAAGACCAGACCAATTTAATTCTTTATTTAATATAATCTTTATTTTTTTTTTAATTTTATAAAAAATTATACAATATATTATATTAATTAACCAAATCGCAATACAGTCAGACCTCCATATAGTCACCTCCTATATAGTCACATATTCTATATAATCACAGTTTTATTTTTACCAATAA